AACAGGAGTGCACGGGATGAGACTCCTTTGTTTTGGTGTTGAAGTATTAGCTTAATATTCTGAATGGGTATCAAATGTTTTCTTAACAGATGGCATCTGAGAGAGAAGGCTCTGGAAGTTCTGGCACTGGGGAACAAAAGGAAGATCAAAAGGAGGAGAAACAGTAATAGTACATTGGAGCCAAAAAGACCACATTCTATATGAAGCTTAGGAGTGAAGGCACTTCCTGAGCAGAAATGGGCAACCTTCAGTCTTTACTGTATTTTTGCAGTATTCAATATATAATTTCCTTGATATGTAAATTTAGTGACCATTAGCTGATGAACATTTAATGGGCAATAATTCTATGCAGTACAAAGTTCACAATGTTCTCTCCCTGGCCTGTTAATTTTCAGCTGCATGTGAAAGGGTTAGGGGTAGACGATTTACTAATCATTATAAAGACTTCCTGTTGGTTTGTGCTAAAGTGGCAATATTTTCAAGGTGTGAAACTATATCAAACACAATAAAGGAGATGTACCATAATAACCTGGAATGAGACCATAATGAGGATGAAGATCCTAGTTGGTCAAGAGCACTGCTGTAATAGCCGATGTGTACTCGGGGTCCTTCGGCTGAGGCCTTGAAGCACAAGAGAGCTAGCTGTGCTAAGGTTGTAGTAGGTGGGACAGAGGAAGCTGGTCAGTGGAAAACTAAGCTATTTATGTTAGGTAGCTTAAAATAAGGTAGTTCTTAAATCCCTAATGTTCCTAAGGCATACTTTTCTAGCTACCCTCTGGCCCATCTGGCACCTACCTACATCCTTGAGATTGTTCTTTCTGATCCATTCTGGATTTTTAAAAAAATAAATATGAAAAATATCTTGATTTCTTGTTTTTATGGTGTGAGCTGCAGTTTAGCTTCAGGACTATGACATGTCACACTTTCCATATTTTCCAAGGAAGAAAACGGGATTTTCTAGCACTGGGTAAAGAGACGAACAAATCCAAAGATTCAGAAGGATTGGTATAAAAAGTCACAGGCAAATTTTAGATGTCTATTACAAAAACCAGGTCTTTTTATTCAGGTTGCTGTCAGCTTAGAAATGTATACAACCAAGCCTGGCTTACTTGAAGAAACTGATATATAGTAGTCATAAGATGTATTTTGAGTGATTTCAAAAATAAGGAACCCAGATTCTTGATCTGTTTGTGCTTTCCCATCCTCAGTGTATTGGCTTGTCCCAAATTTCGATGTCACATGCCAATGACTTAAGTGATATTGTTCGAATGTCTCATTAAGTAGAATTATTTCCCATGTCTCTGAACATACTTCTCTTTGAATTTCATGGATACTTAAGTAAACTTATACCATGTAACATAGCTCCTTTATAATTTAATGGTATTTAGAAATGTAGGGTTCTGTTGGGGGAGGTGTATTTTGGATAGGGGTCTCACTAAATTGCTAAGAGCCTCAGCGTCTTGTGATTACAGGCATGTACCACCATGCCTATCAGAAATTTCCATTTTTAAGGTCAATACAAGAAATCAGTTCAATGCCCTACTGTGGAGGAAGTGAGTGATTTCTACATTGTATAACTAGAAAATTCACTTGTCTACTTCGTAACACCCATGTGAAAATTATTAGGATTTGTGTGAGTTGATACTCAGGTTTTCAGCCACATGAACACTTGATAGGGACCTACAATGATTCTGTCATAAAAGATGGTTTGTTATGTTGGAAGATGCTTTTCTGATTGACCTCTGCTGTGTTCAGATCAGTATGGTAGCTAAACTGTTCTCTAAGATTTCCAAGTACCCTGACTGATCATTAATAGCATGTTTTAATCAAGGTTTACCCTTGAGACTGAAGCATGCCCTGAACAGAATCTGGGTTCTACTGGAAAGGGTACTTGAGTAGATGTCTATAGCTATTGTCTTAAGGTGCCCAGTGGGAGAAATAAAACACATTGAACTGTAATTCAGTTCTCTCTCAATCTAAGCTGTAATAGCATAAAAAATTTCATTAGGATTTCCCAGAGATATAAACTCATAGGATATTATATAGTCTGAGGCTCACTATAAGAAATTTGCTTATAATTAAAGTTGCTCAAACCAAAACCTGCAGTCATCAAATCTTACCAAAGTATGTAAAGAATTACCATCTCTACTATTTTTATTGTAAATTACCTTGGATTACCCTGAGTTTTGACCAGTCTATCCACTTAAACCATTGCTATATTGGTACATTGGTATTTTCTCACAGCAGTGAGATGGCACTCCCCTTCTCTAAGCTCTTCCCAAGGCCTACAGGCTTCACATCATGTGGCCCCTCATTACCACTTTACTCCTTTCTCCCAAATTTTATCTTCTGGCTTTTATCCCTTGATGGAACAGTCTCAACATTTCCATTTGACTCACCTATCACTTTTTTTTTTTGAGAAAGAGAAATATAAAAATAGCCCCCCCTTCTCAAGTTTGTCATTTCCTATTCCTACTCTCCTCTTAGCATTTTTTACTATTCAATTTGTCCTTTCCCCACCTAAAATGTAAGCTACATTAACACCAAAAATTGTTCATTGACAATGTATCTGCACCCAGAATAATTCCTAGCACATAAACACTAAAATATTTCAAAATACCTCTACTGTCCAAAATTCAGAGTGGCTTTACATTTCCATTTTAGAAATTAAAGCCTTTTGGTTATTGATTTATAAATTACATCCTTGTCTGCCAAACTCACAATGGGGGGGGGGAGCTTATACCAAATTTAATTGATAATGTGCTGTGGATCAAATTTTTGCGTTCATGTATGCTTCTCTCCATCTCCAGGCCAAGATAAAAGGTGAATTTGGGTTCATTTTAAATTGGGGTCTTCCACATTGCCCAGGCTATTATAATTTTATGAGCCCAGGTAATCCTTTCCCAGCCTCTGTAGTTGGAACTACAGGCATGTGTCACCATGGCCAACAAGATGAAAAGGCTCATCTCAAACTTGCAAGTCTCCTTTCTCAGCCTCCCAAATAGCTAAGGTTACACTTTAGCTGGGATTATTGGTGTGTGCCATTCTTTTTAAGTACCAAGGTTTGAACCCAGGGGGCCCTTAACCCCTGAGCCACATCTCCAGCATTTTTCCTTGAGACAGGGTCTCACCAAATTTCTTAGGGACTCACTAAGTTGCTGAGGCTGGCTGTGAACTTGCAATCTTTCTGCCTCAGCCTCCTGAGCCATTGGGATTAAAAGTTTGCACCACCCTGCTCAGCCATATTATTTTCCCAAGAATGTATGAAATTAAAAAAAAAAAATCAACTGAGGTAAATGGCATACATTTTTTTTTTTTTAAGATCATACAAGGGAAGTCTGCATGGCTCATGAATGCACAAATGCCAGTTATGAGAGACTGAGGCTACAAGGTCTGTCTTTTTTCCTCTCTTGCCTGCTGCCCTTCTGTTTGGATTATGCAGCAATGCTTCCCCCGCCCCCATTTGGTGACACTGGGGATTGAACCCAGGACCTCATGATAGAAAAACACTATATACCTGAGCTAAACCCAGAGCACTTTTAAAAATTTAGAACAGGGTTTCACTAAATTGCCCAGGCTGGCCTCAAACTTGTAATACTCCTGCTTCAACCTCTCTAGTAGCCAGGATTACATCACCACACTTGGTATCAGCAAGGTGGCTCTTGATTCTGGGATTTCTCCACATTGCAGAATTGAACCAATATATTCATAATATATTACCCAGTCAGTATTGTAATAGCAGCACAAAGTGGACTGAGATAGGATTGCCATTTATTCTGGTCATTCCCATTCTGTGTGCTATCCAGAAAAACCTTGGGCCATGTATTTGGTTTTAATTTTCCAGGATATAGCCCCCCGCAAATTGCTGGGATTACAGGTGTGTGCCACTGCATCTTGCTGGGACTTAGTGAAGTTGTAAGTGCCTTAGAGATAACCAAATCCACAGATACTTTTCAAACTATTTTTTTCCACTCTACCACTGAGTATACCCCAGCCTCAATACAGAACTCTGGGGCTGGGGTCATAGCTCAGTGGTGGAGCACTTGTCTTGCATGGTGAGGCCGTGGGTTCGATCCTCATCACCACATAAAAATAAATAATAAAGGTATTGTGTCAACTACAAATAAATAAATAAATAAATAAGGTATTGTGTCAACTACAACTAAAAAAACTTAATAAAGGTTTTGTGTCCACCTACAAGTGAAAAAATATTTAAAAATTCTAAAAATATATAGAACTCTCTGGACAGGCATGGTGGTGCACGCCTGTAATCCCAGCAGCTCATGAGGGTGAGGCAGGAGGATGGAGTTCAAAGCCAGCTTCAGCAACGTTGAGGCGTTAAGCAACTCAGTGGTATCTCTAAATAAAATACAAAATAGGGCTGGGAGGGCGTTGGGGTTGTGGCTCAGTGATAGAGTGCTCACCTAGCACATGAAAGGCACTGGGTTCAAACCTCAGCACCACGTGAAAAAAAATGAAATAAAGATATTATGTCCATCTACAACTAAGAAATATTTTTAAAAAATAGGGCTGGGGATGTGGCTCTGTGATTGAGTGCCCCTGAGTTCAATCCCCAGTACCCCTCCCCTCAAAAAAATCTCTGATCAGGGGCAGAACAGACAGACATATAACTATTAAGACACCCAAGGAAAATGTTGTTCATTTAATTTATATTAATGAAGAAATACAAATTCCATTTTTCTACACTCAACACAGAACACTTCTTTGGTCATGGTCAAATGGTGGGTTTTTTCCACACCAAGCACTTCAACTTTCTGCACACGAGCTGGGTATCCTATGATTCACTTTTAACTTCTGATATTATCAACCTGGAATTTGAATCAAATCCCACAAGTTAATGGCTCTGCCTCATAAGATTATCCCCACTTCTGATGCCAATCACAAGTTCCAGATTGTGACCTATTTTTGACTAAGTGACTATAAAATCAGGGATCTTTTAACCCTCCTTGCGTTTGGTAATTTGCTGTGGTGGTGGAACAGAGAATTCAGGGAAACTTTATTTCAATTTAGCCATTCATTATAAAGGATATTACAACAGATGCACATGGACAGCCAAATGAAGAAGTACACAAGAGTTGGTTCATGAGCGTCCTCTGAGTGCAGGAATTTCTATTCCTGTAGAGTTGGAGTACAGAATCTTCCTAGTTCAAGGATTTATTCACCAACCCAGAAACTCATCAAATCTGGGGCAGAAAATAAAGTTATGAGACTAAGATAAAGCAAATCCAAAGTATAATTCCTGGAGATTTGTTTATCCTGGTAGAAAGACGGAGTCTGTAGAATGGGTATGTAGGATCTTTCATCCTGCTAAGAGGCTGATGTGTTAACAACTGTTAGGAATTTAGAGCCTTTCAGAATTACAATTTAAAGTATTGGGTCTTTATATACCCTAGCTGTGGTATACGATGAAGTTTTCAGTTCCAGTGACAACTCTTGAATCCTTGGAATTTTCTGAGTTTCTTTTGTTGTTCATATGAGCCTCTTCAGATGGCCGCAGTTTATACTGAGTTTAAGCACTTAGGAGAGGGGCCCAAAGGAAACCTCTGGAGGGGCCGATCACGAGAAAGACCAGCTGGTTAGAGGGCTGGAACTTTCAGCCAATGCAAAGACCTCTGGGAAGAAAGGAGAGATTCTAGAGATGTGAGGGTCAGGGAGTAGGAGTAATAGGGATTGAACCCAGGGTTACTCTTACTGAGCTACATCCCCAGCCCTTTTTAAGACTGGGTCTTGCTAAGTGGCCCAGGCTGGCCTTGAATTTGCAGTCCTCCTGCCTCAGTATCCTGAGTAGCTGAGATTACAGATGTGCTGCAATATACCCAGATAAGTTCTATATAATCTATAGTAAGTTTTATAAAAACTCTTGAACAAGATTTGATAATCAAGAACAACTCCTTCATTATTCAGAGAATCAGAGGTTATATATTCTACTCTTACCATGTAGCAGTTTGAAAAATCAGCATCACTCTGACATCACAAGTTTCCTTCTCAACCCTAAATGATCATAGTTCCATTTTATTTTTTTTAATATTTTTTTTTTAGTTCCACATAGTACCTTATTTTAATGTGGTGCTGAGGACTGAACCCAGGGCCTTGCACATGCTAGGCAAGTGCTCTACCACTGAGCCACAACCCCAGCAGCCCCCATCATTCCATTTAAAAGCCTTTACTTACTAGCTTCCCACTCCATTCCTTCCCAAATTCTCTCTATCAGAGCCTTTGCCTCTAATGCATTGATATCCAAGTTTAAATGCAGAGATGGTGAATTTGCAGCAATAAGGCAAATGAGCTTTTGGGGATACAGTTGAACTGCCTGGAGCTGCAATATTGAAACACATTTCAAGAATTCAAAGGTTAGCCAGACACGGTGGTGCACACCTATAATCCCAGCAGCTCGCAAGGCTGAGGCAGGAGGATCACAAGTTCAAAGCCAGCCTCAGCAATGTAAGGTGCTAAACAACTCAGTGAGACCCTGTTTCTAAATAAAATACAAAATAGGGCTGGGGATGTGGCTCAGTGGCCAAGCATCCCCAAGTTCAATCCCCAGTAACCGGCCCCCCCAAAATATTCAAAGGTTGACAAATACCAATTCCACCTGAGATGTGACCAGATGAAACCATGAGCTGGTCTAAAAAGCTTGGAAAGTATTCAAAGGAACCTAAAGACACAATATAAACATAACAAAAGGAAGGCAAAGCAAGGAAACCTAATATAGAAAATAGAAAGTAGGGTAAGGGAAATGAAATAGAGAAAAGCTTGGGACACAGTAGACCCTAGTCAGTAAACAGTATATTTAAGAAGACCTTACTGGGGCGGGGGTTGTGGCTCAGTGGCAGAGCGCTTGCCTAGTATGTGTGAGGCACTGGGCTTGATTCTCAGCATCACATGTAAATAAATAAAATAAAGGTCCACAGACAACTAAAAAAAAAAAATAAGACCTTACTGCCAAGCACAGTGAATAACAGGCAGAGCTGGAGTACAATGTTAAACAATGAGACACAACATACTAGAAATTAAAACAGAACCTAAAGAGATGCTTTTAGGGGGAAAGAAAACTTGCCCCATAGAAGTCTGTGTTCCCACCCTATGGAGAGATAGGTAATCAGATCATTGATATTATGCACTGAATAATGAATATGGAGCTGGGAAAGCACAAACTAGCTGAGTGACTGAGTGACCTTTTCACCTTTCTTTACCTCAATTTTCCCATGCATGAAATGGGGTGACACTCCCATTTCCAAAGTGTAGACAAAGTTGAGAAAACATGCCAAAAGTATTTAAAGCCCAAATAAACGCAACTGCATGACTGACATCACTACTTAAACATCTTATAAGCAATCTCAAACTTAGCAGTAGTTATTTTGTGGTGCTGCGGATTGAACCACAGTCTCATACATGCTAGGAGAATGCTCTGGCGCTGAGCTGCAAGCCAGGCTCCAACCATTGTAAACTTAATAGAGCTAAGATGAAATTCTCAATTATCCCGGAGCAAAACCTGTTCTTCCTGTTTCCTACCTCAGTAAATGTCATAATTTCAGTACTCTATGGGAACCTTTCTTCCTTTCTTATCCAGGCCATATATGGGTCCAATCCATACAGATTAACCTCATATATACCGTATCGTTATTCATTCACTTCCATCTGCACTGCCGCCACCCTCTTCTAAGCTACAGTCATCTTTCACATCGTACTGAAGCGACCAAAAGGGTCTATAGGTTTCTACTTTTGCCCTCTCCAATCCAAGCAAGGGCTCTAAAGTCTTTAAAATATTTAGAGAAAAAAGCCAAACAGCTTAAAAAGCCACTACGTGACCCCTTCCCCTGCTGCTTCCTCAAACCACACTCCCCAACCCATGCTCCAGCACTGGTTAATTTTGTAGTTCCTCAGATGTGCTATGCGCCTCGCTAACCAACTTCTATTCATCTTTTACGCCTCATTTCAGAGTTGGATCTCCCATCATCCACACTCAGAGCCTTAAGTACAATTTATCTGTACAATTAGATTATTACACCAAGATATTAGAAGCCGGGCGCGGTGGCGCACACCTGTAATCCCATAGACTCAGGAGGCTGAGACAGGAGGATTTGCGAGTTCAAAGCCAGCCTCAGCAACTTGGCGAGCCACTTAGCAACTCAGCGAGACCCTGCCTCTAAATGAAATACAAAAAAGGGCTGGGACTGTGGTCCAGTAGTTGAGCACCCCTGGATTCAATCCCCGGTACCACCACCACCACCCCCCGCCAAAAAAACCCGAAAACGATTATAAACCAAACTAGACAGTAAATTCCAACAGGGTAGGCACTGTTACCTGTCTGATGCACTCCTGTATCCTCAGGAAAACAGAATGTAGCACACGGTCTGGGTTCAAATATTTGAATGAACCTGAGATGAGAGGGACCAAATGGCCAACTAAAAAAATTTAGCTCAAATAGAAAAAAGTTCTAATATATACAGCTACCAATTTTGCTCCAGACCAAACATACATGGAGTCAAGACTAGACAGCTCAGACCAAACTATATACATGGAGTCAAGATACCGCACTCGTGCTTTCTTAAACCTCACACAATTCCAAGTCCAGAGTGAACCCATACAGAGCGACAAGGAACGTGCCTCCTTCGCCTCTGTGGATGAGGGTCCCCGACCAGCTAGTTCAGGCTCCTGATCCGGGCTCACTGGCCAGGATTCTGAACACTAGTCCTCGAAGCAGTGACGCACACAGGCCCAAACACTTCGTCAGCGAAGTCGCTTAGCCCGAGACGTTCCTTTGAGCCTTCTGAAGCAACACTGGACGTGCGCGTCGAGCCCCAAGCTCCTCTCTGGTGTCGCAAAGCTTCAGGTGCCTACCCTGTTCACTCAAGAAAAAGCAAAAGACGACAACCCCCGTGCCTCGCCCTTTAAGAGCCGCCCCCATTGGAGCCTGGCGAAGCTCTAAGCAAATCGTCGCGAGAGCCGCTGGCTTCCGCCCGCTTCCTACTCTCTGCATGCCGGGACGGAAGAAACGCGGTACTTCCCGCCCCCTGCTTCTACCTCACAAGGCAGTGCGGCCGCAGCTGCAACCAATCACCAGGCCCGTTGTAGGCCGCGGCACAAAGGGCCAATGGAAAGTCGCGGCGCGCGCAGAGCTTCTCTTCATCAGAACCAGCCCCCTCCCTTCCGCCCGCCGCCTTCCACTCCGCCCCTGGCGGAGGAAGTGATATCACAGGCCCCATGTGAGCGGATTGCAACACATGCAGCTGCCTGGAGAGAGGGAGCCGGTGTCCTACGTCAGAGCCGCCGCCGCCGCGGAGCCGCCGCCGGGGAGGAGCAGCCGCTGCCGCCCAGGACTGGGCCTTTAGGTGAGACAGGGAAGGGAAAGGCCAGTGACCTATCTGGCGGGCCGCGCGGGGCGGAGAGAGGAGGGCCTTTCGGGGGTGGCAAGGAAGGGGGCCGCTCTGCCCCAGCGGCGGCGCTAACTCTGTGGTCTTGGTGTCTCCGGGCCCCGCCGGGCCGCTCTAGGGAGGAGGAGGCGAGAAGATGGCGGACGACCCCAGTGCTGCCGACAGGAACGTGGAGATCTGGAAGATCAAGAAGCTCATTAAGAGCTTGGAGGCGGCCCGCGGGTGAGCGCCGCGTCCGGCCCCCCCGTGCCCTCTTGGATCCCGGACCCCTCAGGATGGCCGCCCCCGCGCCGCATGGCCGGATGAGGAGAACCCGGCACTAGCCAACTCCCGCCTTCTGGACTTCTGGGTAGTAGCCTCTGACTCAGGGGCGAGGGTCGGAGCTGTTGGCCGGAGAAGGGGTCTTTCCCCCCCTTGGGGGTAAGGGGCCTGCGCTCCCTGGGCTCAGACCATGCGACCCCCCCTCGTGATAAGCCACTACTACTTTTGTACCCCTCTCAGGCCCTTAAGACCTGCTCCTCACTCTTCAGGCTCCAGGTGCTGACACCAGACTCGACTGCTTTTGGGGAAAAGTACTTGGCTTTCCTTTCCGAACGTCCTTCCCTGGTTTCCTCCCTTCACGTTCTTCAGCCAGGCCTTATTAAAATGGCCTCCCCCTCTTGGACTTTAAGGCCCGGGTGAAGTTTGGATGGGGCGAGAAGGAGAGGTGGACAGGGACATCCTCATTCTAGCTCCTTATGATTTCTGAGGGTCTCCCACCTCTCCCAGGATGAGTTCCTTCAAGTCCTCTAATTATCCTGGAGCTTCCTGGTTTCTAGCTGTTCCAGGACCCGCCTATAAACTGAAAATGCCAACGTGTGCAGCATGGGGGAGTGGGGGCTGCTTTTGGTTGACAAACCTATATGTGTATATCCAGGAGAATTCCGGATAGTGGGACTATTTGATATGGTCCATAATAATAGAGTTCCTGTTGACCTTCCGGTGGAACTTCTTATGATATCACTGTAGAGGGTGCTTGTTGAAATTCAGAACTGAATTAAGTGAACTTCTTGTCTCCTGTTTTTAAGTTTTAGTAAGAAACTTTAGGTGTATCCATTCTGAGAAGAGTAAACTAGATTAAGATTAGCCTTTTTTTTTTTCTTTTTTTTAATATTGCTCATTTGAGGAAGGTGCCAGAGTATTCCTGTTTCCTCACTTCCTGGCTTTCCCAGTCATAGAAAGTTTTTACTTACCGGAAGTGGCCCCCAAAAGTGGAACATTACATATTCTTAAATCTCTGCATTCTTAGATTAGCATAGTGGTTTTGTCCCAGGACTTTGGAAAGTTGATTTCAGCACAAGAATTGGAGTTTCTGGTTTTCAGCTCATGCTTGTCATTGGCATTGCATTTGCAGTGATAGGATGAATATCAGATTTACTTATTAATTTTTATGGGAATTTGTACTACAATAGAAGAAAAAAAATAATTCCCAAAATGTAAAAGAGTAATGTAGGTCATGAGCCATTATGATGCCAAGTACTTTTTTGTCACTAGGATTTTCTGTCATGTTACTTGAAGCCTTCAGTTGTATATTGATTTTTGTAGAGTGTTGTTTAAAGTATTTGTTCTTTTTGTTTGGAGGAAGATTCACATTATATTCTCTGAAGCAGTCTAAAATATGAATTTATTACTAATCGGCCTGTTGTCTGAGTGAAGTAACATTGATAATGCTGCTTAATAAGTAACAATATTCCTTTCTACTCTTTGATGAAGAAAGCTTATTCTTAAATTTGTTCCTAAGCATGTCACCTAGCCACTTGAAAGTTATAAGTACCTCCTTTTAAAGGTTTGAAGGCTTTACTAAACTCTTTGTTTAGTAAAGTTTGAAGCATGCTAAAAAATGAAGCTATTAGGCACAGCTCTTCTTCCAAGTGGTAGTTTGAACATTTTAGACATGATTAAACTGTCTAAAATAGTAGGGACTCTTCCTCTAAACAGTGTGGTTAATGATCATGTCCTGTTTGCTTCTAGTCAGGCTTTGGTTGCATCTTGATTCCATGAAAACTTAAAATCTTAGCCATTTCTCATGTTGGTTAGGGAGTCAAGTTTGTTCTGTGACTCACCAGGTTCCTGGTATATGTCGTTTTCTCATGGGAAACAAAAATATTGTATTTTCAATTCTTTTTTGTGTTAAAGTCAAACTCTAGTTTTTCATAGTGTATAGTGAGAAATGTTTTTCTTCTTTACCTAAAGTTAAATATTTTAGGAGTAATTGTAATGAGCTATAAAGACAAACTGAGTCAATCCATGTGTGCTGGTGTCTGCGGGGCTACCGTGTAGCTTTCAGGAGAAAATGGGTTGTGTTAAAGCATGTTTATTAGCACAAGACGGTGAAATTTAGTGGTGGGTTAACAGAATGTAAAAATGACTTCTCCAACGGTATAGAATTCTGAACATGAGAATCAGGAATTAGTTCATTTTTAACATTTCTAAGATATGAGTGTTATTCTGAAATTTAGATAATAAATGATTATCTTTTGATATATGACCCAAACATAGTGTAGCTTAAAAAGAACCACCTGCAAGATGATACATTAGAACAGAATGAGGTATCTAGATAAAATAATTTATTGAGCACTTAGTATATTACACTGTTTTTAAAAATACATTGTATCATTCACAACAATAAATACTGCCACCATTTGATAGACAAGGAAACAGACTGAGAAGTTAGATAACTTGCAGTCCATAATGTCATAGAGTGATAATGTATAATAGTCCAGCACTTGAACCAGTGTGCTCTACTGGATATATTTTATGTTTTCCAAAATATGAAAGTCTGGATTTATTCAACATAATCTGAACTATAACAGACTGTGTTATGCCTGTGGAAGAACATTTATAAAGGCGACATTTCTGAAATGGGAAACTTTGCTAACATTCTCATAGTATTATACTTAATACGATTTTTTTAAGTTGGGTGGAACATACTTTATTTTGGTTTTATATAAGTATGATTGAATGTTAGTCTATATTGACAAGTAAAATAACCAGCCAGCTCTTTTGCTAAACATAATCCTCACTTAAAGTTGATGGTAGTTTTTCCCTACTTATGATTGTTCCTGGTATATTCTTCACAGTTGGCGTATGAGGACAAATGTGTACATAGCCTGGGAATAGGGCCATGTGAGTTGAACCGTCCTTGGTTTCAAATAAGGAACTAAAGCAGGTGAACATGTCACAAGAAAGTTAGGTACGGATTTCTGGTTGTTTTTGTTTCCCCTGATGTTTTCTAAGCAAGCAAGAGGTAGCCCCAGAAATGGTTTGGAAGCTTTATAGTTTATGTAATAAAATAACCAAAGCCTCATCTAATCAATGGTCATGAGGAATGTGACAAGGAAAAATATGGTGTTAGTTTGGGTTATGTCTGTAGATCTTAGAATATTTTTCACTTATCTTCATGAAGAAATCTTGCATATTTCAAGTATAAACTTATTGAGGCATAATTTGGTTTTTTTAATTCCTCAATATTCTTGGAGAGCTGATTTTTAACTAAAGTAATACCCTGGGCTGGGCGTTAGTTTAGCAGTAGAATACATGCATAGCATGCATAAGGCCCTGGGTTTGATACAATCCCCAGCACTGCCAAAAATTATAATACCCTTTAAGGGATACCTTGTAATCTTTCATATAGATAATTGAACTATTCAGTGTTTGGGTTTTTGTTTGTTTATTGTTTGTTTGTTTGTGCTGGGGATTGAACCCAGGGGTGCTAAATAACTGACCCACATTCCCAGCCCTTTTAATTTTTTGAGACAGGGTCTAGTAAGTCCTTAGGGCCTCACTAAGTTGCTGAGGTTGGTCTCAAATTGTGAAACTCCTGCCTCAGCCTCCCAAGCTGCTGGGATCAGGTTTTTAAAGAAGTTTTTGTTGTTTTGTGGTGGGGATTGATACACCCAGGGGATCAATCCTCCCACCTCAGCCTCTTTGAGTCGCTGTGATTATAGGCATGCACCACCACACCTGGCTTAACAAAGACTTCAGCTCTTCCTTCTGTATCCTAGAATCTCTGAGATTACAAGCAAGAGGACTTTTTTATCCTTGGTTCTTGCTCCTTCCATCTTCCACCCCCATCTCTGATGGGATAAAAGACCACTGAGAGAAAACTCAACAATTAGAATGTTTAAAAGTTTCTCCAAAAGAGATGAGACTTCAGAGGTCTTAGTGGCCCCAACTACCTATTTGACCTATAGCAAGTTATTCTTTCAAAGCTTTGGTTTTCACGCTTAACTATGAACAATATCTTGGATTAGGTGGTAACAGTCAATGTGATATGGGTTTAAAAGTCAAATACTACATTTATCCCATAGAGTGTTCTGCAAATGTTAATTCTCTCCTTTGTGTACACAAATACTGAGCCTTTAGAAATAGAAGCCAGGTACAGTTGCACAAGCCTGTAATCCCAGCTACTCAGGAGCCTAAGGACTGAGGATTGTAAATTTGAGGCCTGCTCTGGCTGCTTAGTGAGACCTTGTCTTTAAAAGGACTGGAGTTAAGTGCTGCGGCATGCCTGTTCAAAGCCAGCCCTAGCAACTTAGGCCCTAAGCAACTCAATAAGACCCTGTCTTAAAATAAAATACACAAAAGGTCTTGGGGGTAAGACTCAGTGGTTAAGTGCCCCTGGGCACTCAACCCCTAATACGGGGCGGGGGGGGGGGGAGAAGGTCTAGGGATGTGGCTGAGTGGTAGATCACCCCTTGGTTCATTTCCCAGAACCAGAAAAAAATTATAAAAGAATTGTTAAGGGGTAAGGATACAAATACCACCAGC